TGCGCGCCGGGCACCAATGACAGCGCGGGGCGCAGTATTTAAATCGCCCTGAGCTGTCACTGGTTGCCGTTTGGTCCTTTCCTGTTCCCTGATCTGTGTACCTGTGTTTTTGATAAGTTGCTGACCCGGATTGCTCCTGACATTGCTGTTCTCTCCTGCCCTGACCTTGGCTTGCCTGACCTCTCTTCTGGATGCCCCCTGTTGGTTCTGATCTACTGTTGCTGACCTGGCGTGTGACCCGACTATTCCCTGCCCGCTGTTTTGTACCTCGCAGACCCCATGGCTCCCGACCCGGCTCTTTTGACCCTGCACCTGCTCAGCCATCCATCCATCCGGTCAGGATTGCCCGACCTCCTCATATCAGGCTCTTACTCTGCTGGAGCCCTCGGTGGATACCTCTACCATTAGTGGAAGTTCCCAGTAGTCGCGACCTGGTCTCGGTGTGCTCCAAGTCCATCCCCACCATCAGGGGCCCTGGTGAACAAGTGCTCCGGGACTTAGACTCCACGCTCTGGAAGCACCTGACCAGTGGATTACTAGAGGTACCGCCGGGCGGTCCCTTACTGCCCACTTCAGGGCAAGAAATTCCAGTTTGTAAACAGGATAATTATTTTCTGCTGGGCTTAGACTGTGACTGATATAAGCAACAGGCCTTAGTCCTCCTGGGTACTCCTGATGGAGGACTCCTCCTAACCCTTCATAGCTGGCATCTACATGCAGAACGTATGACTTTTGTGGGTATACATAAGCCAACACTGGTGCTTCTGTAAGGCGTTTCTTAAGCTGTAGAAAAGCTTCCTCACAACTAGAAGTCCACCTCTCACTGAAAGGAGTTTTGCTGGTTGTGTCAATGCCAAGTGTTTCTTTAAGCAAGTCATTAAGAGGCCAAGCAGTCTTGGAATAGTCTCTAATGAAGCGGCGATAATAGCCACAAACCCCAAGAAGGACCTCAGTTCTGTCAGATTTGTGGGACGGGGCCAGGTTACCACAGCCTCCACTTTAGCAGGATCAGTTGCTACCCCTTCTGCAGATATGATGTGGCCCACAAAGTTTACTGAAGAACGGGCAAACTTACATTTGTCCAGGGAGAGTCTCAGACCTTCTCTCCTCCTCAAACGATCAAGCACTTTAAACAGTCTCTGATCATGCTCATCCAGAGTGGAGCCAAAAACAATTATGTCATCTAGGTAGACAATATATTGAGTGGGACAAAGGTCTCCCAGTGCCCGATCCATTAGATGCTGGAAGGTTGCAGGTGCACCACAAATTCCCTGAGGCATTCAAGCAAACTGGAAAAAACCCCAGGGGCAAATAAAAGCTGTCTTTTCTTGATCTTCTTCACTCATTGGTACTTGGTAATACCCGGATCTTAAATCCATTACGGTGAACCACTTGCTGCCTTGCAGGGCATCAAGAGCTTCCTCAATACGAAGTAGCGTGTATTCATCTGGGACCATTCACCGATTTAGAGTCCTGTAATCAACACATATTCGCACTCCACCATTTTTCTTTCTGACCACCACTATTGGGGATGCATACGGGCTTTTAGACTCAACAATGATGTTTTGATCTTTCATTTTGTGCAAGCACTCTGGAACATCATCCAGATCTTTAGGAGGTATGCGCCTGGATCTTTCTCTAAAGGGGGTGCTATCTGTTAGGTGAATACTGTGTTGAATACTTTTAGCTCACCCAACATCCATGTCATCAGTAGAGAAAACATCATTGTATTCCATTAGCTGCTCTTCTAGTGCTTGTTTGTGCTCTGCAGGACTATCAGCATCATTCAGGTGAAAGTCTAATTTGGTTTCTTTCTCCTCGACCTTGGCAGGGTAAGAGCTAATGGTTTCCACTGGGTAACAATAGGCTACCTCCTGCCAGGCTGGTATTATACCTGGGTATGTGGTAACATTCCGAACAGTAACAACATCCATTCTTGGACATTTTAAACAATAGTCTTTCCTTTCTGGTACTATCTCCCAGCCATTCTTTGCAGCCTCTTTCAGATCAGTCTCTAGCAGGAAAAAGTTTGCACCCGGTGAAATATCCACATAAACCAGCAACACTCTCACTCCCCCCGGCTGGAAGCTCTATGGGATGCCATGGATTCCCCACACATCCTCCAGGAAGATCAGGAGGAAAGGTTTGTCAGATATTTTGAAGTTCTGGAGCAACAGGCAGTGAAGGTAGAGGAGTACCCTGTTGTGGCTGAAGCAACCTTATGAAAGCAGCCTCAACGGCTTCAACATTGGAACCCACAATCATAGGAGCATACTCATTACCCCCGGGTGAAGGGCTCACATAGGCAATGACTTTAAGTGGGGGATCCTCATCAGCTGTCACACCAGGAATGCGAAGCTCAACTTCCAGACAACCATCCATAAAAACAGGATTTTCTCCCCACCATAAACAGGCACAGTGTCCATAGGTTTCAAAGGGAGATGGCTTAAGTGTTGCTGATAGAAGGGCCTGTAGATAATAGTCACCTGAGAGCCGGTGTCAAACAGAGCAGTGGTGGGTATATCATTAACAAATGGAAAGTACATCTGCGGCCTACTCCAGGCAGTTTAGTGAACATTTGTTTTCTTGATTTTCTCTTTTTTCTTTTATACATTTGTCCAACTTTACTGTGAATTTCAGAACTATCAGCAAGTTGTGGACACTGACGAACTGTGTGACCTGCTTGTCCACAGCAGAAACATTTAATGTGGAAAAGAGGCTTATCACTGGAGGTTTTATCAGCAGATAGAGCTCTAGGCTGTGGAAGTCTACCAACTTCTTTGTTTTTAGCAACAGTCTCATTGTCATGGATCTAGGTATGACCAGAAGTGTGTGGACCGACACAGGGACACGCAGGCTTCAGGTATAGTAAATAATATAATTTATTAAGACTAACAATACAAATGCAGTGCAAAACTAAACATAAACACAGTGCAAACAAACCAAACCTCCAACAGATAACAAACATACAATACAAGAGTAGTCAGGCAGGCCGGGTCGGTCGCAAACGGGCAAGCAGAGTACCAGGAGCAGGCGGGAGAGTGGTCAGGACTAGCCGAGGTCAGTACAGGCAGAGTTCAAGCAGAGTCAGGACAGGAGTAACAGGATCAGGAAACCAGGGCCAAGCGAACAGTATAACAAGGCACTGACTGCAGGTCTGGCCATCCCTTAAATACACCACCTGCAATCAGCCCCAGGTGATGGCTAATTGCAGGAGTGAGCCTCTGGTTGTTGAGAGCACCCGCTGGCCAGCCCTGGTACTGCATCCCACAAGGCAGGTGAGTCCCACCACTATTGGCAAGTCCATTCCTGACAGTACCCCCCCCTTAAGGAGCGGCCTCAGGATGCTCCAAACAGTCCTAACTGGGCAAAATGTTCCACCGCCTGGGTCCGGTAACTGGTGGGATATCAAAGACTGGCACATCAAGCTGGGCACCGGACAGAGGTACGTCAGGGCTGGGCAGCGGGCGGAGGCACCTCAGGCTGGGCAGCGGGCGGAGGCACGTCAGGCTGGGCATCGGACGGAGGCACGTCAGGCTGGGCATCGGACGGAGCCACGTCAGGCTGGGCATCGGATGGAGGCACGTTAGGCTGGGCATCGGACGGAGGCACGTCAGGCTGGGCATCGGACGGAGGCACGTCAGGCTGGGCAGCGGGCGGAGGCACGTCAGGCTGTGCACCGGACGGAGGCACGTCAGGCTGGGCACCGGACAGAGGCATGTCAGGCTGGGCACCGGACAGAGGCACATCAGGCTGGGCACCGGACAGAGGCACATCAGGCTGGGCACCGGACAGAGGCACATCAGGCTGGGCACCGGGCCACCAGGCGGAGCAGCGGGCACCGAGCCACCAGGCGAAGCAGCGGGCACCGGGCCACCAGGCGGGGCAGCGGGCACTGGGCCATCAGGCGGAGCAGCAGGCACTGGGCCATCAGGCGGAGCAGCAGGCACCGGGCCATCAGGCGGAGCAGCAGGCACCGGGCCATCAGGTGGAGCAGCAGGCACCGGCCCATCAGGCGGAGCAGCAGGCACCGGTCCATCAGGCGGAGCAGCAGGCACCGGCCCATCAGGCGGAGCAGCAGGCACCGGTCCAACAGGCGGAGCAGCAGGCACCGGGCCAACAGGTGGAGCAGCAGGCACCGGCCCATCAGGCGGAGCAGGCATCGGGCCAACAGGCGGAGCAGCAGGCACCGGGCCAACAGGTGGAGAAGCGGGCACCGGGTCAACAGGCAGAGCAGTGGGCCAACAGGCAGAGCGGCGGGCACCGGGCCACCAGGCAGGGCAGCAGGCACCGGCCCATTAGGGAGAGCAGCAGGTACCGAGGCATCTGGGAGAACGGCGGGCACCGAGTCACCAAGCACGACAGTGGACACCGAGTCACCAGGCACGACAGCGGACACCGAGTCACCAGGCACGACAGCGGGCTCCGAGTCAACCGGCACGACAGCGGGCACCGAGTCATCTGGTAAGACAGCGGGCTCCGGGTCAACTGACGTGACAGCGGGAACGGAGTCAACTGGCAGGACAGCGGGCACCGAGTCATCTGGCATCAGGTCATCTGGCTCAACAGCGGGTACTGGGTCATCAGGCATTGGATCGTCTGACTCGACAGCGGGCATCGGGTCATCTGGCAAGACAGCAGGCACCGAATCATCTGGCAAGACAGCGGGCACGGAGTCATCTAGCAGAACAGCGGGCATCGGGTCGTCAAGCTCGACAGTGGGCACCGAGTCATCTGGCAAGACAGCTGGCACCGAGCCATCTGACAAGACAGCGGGCACCAAGTTATCTGGCAGAACAGCGGGCATCGGGTCGTCAAGCTCGACAGCGGGCACCGAGTCATCTGGCAATACAGCTGGCACCGAGGCATTTGGCAAGACAGCGGGCACCGAGTCATCTGGCAAGACAGCGGGCACCGAGTCATCTGGCTCGACAGTGGGTACTGGGTCATCAGGCATTGGATCGTCTGACTCGACAGCGGGCACCGGGTCATCTGGCTCGACAGCGGGCATTGGGTCATCTGGCATCAGGTCATCTGGCTCGACAGTGGGCATCGGGTCATCTGGCATCAGGTCATCTGGCTCGACAGCGGGTACCGGGTCATCTGGTTCGACAGCGGGCACCGGGTCATCAGGAATTGGATAGTCTGGCTTGACAGTGGGTACTGGGTTATCTGGCAGGACAGCGGGCAACAGGTCATCTGGCTCGACAGCGGGGCACCAAGTCATCTGGCATGATAGGCCGGGTAGGAACATCAGGCTGGGTAGAACCATCAGGCTGGGTAGAACCATCAGGCCGGGCAGAACCATCAGGTCGGGCAGAACCATCAGGCCGGGTAGCGTACACTGGGTCATCAGGCATCAGGGTATCAGGCTGACCCATAGAAGGCGGGTTCTCAGACAGCAGACTGACCAGTTTGGATACTGGCAGGATGGTACTGGTTGGAAAGAATTTTCGCCTTTTCCTGGTTTTAGTTACTGGAGCACTGTAAGTAAGTGCAGGTTTGTAAACAGATAGAGCAGCTGTAGGCAGAGAAGAGCTGGAGGATGGAACAAAGGAGGGAGCAGTTGCTACAGAGGACTTCTTTACAGGGTTAAAGGCAGAATAGGTGCAGCGAGTGGGAGCAGAGGACTGATATGTGGTAGTTAGCAAAGTATACTGGGCCGTCACTGGGGGTGCTGTCAAGGATGCAGGAAGAGTGCCTTGAGCAGAGGAATGACGTTGCAAGCTGACTGAGGCTGGGTGCAACAAGTCTGACCATGTCTGCAGTATGGGTTGAACAAAGCTCAGCTTACACAAAGCCTGGTCAATGACTGCACTGCGTTTATACAATCTCTTAGTATCTGTGGTGAACATGCAGAATAACGCTCCAAGAAGCAATCCACATCATCCTCTAATAACCACACCAGGGACTCTACCTGGTCTGCACTAAATGGTGGCAAAAAGTCATTCCTGCTTTCGGGGGAACCAGATGAAACCAACTCTGCACAAACCTGAATCAAAGGCTGCACCTCAGAGAACTCTGTGCCCTGATCTACTAGAACATGAGCGAGCCGTATACATTCTAGCAGTTGATCCCGGGGATACTCCTTCAGAGTCTGAGAAGCATATTCTCTGTCATCAAAGACCAGCAGAGACAAATATACCACCTCATCAAGATCCATCCTTCCCAGCAACAATAAGCCAAGATGGCTTCCCTGTGCAGCCACTTCTGGTCAGGAAAGGCCTTGTAGTAATGTCATGGATCTAGGTATGACCAGAAGTGTGTGGACCGACACAGGGAAACGCAGGCTTCAAATATAGTAAATAATATAATTTACTAACAATACAAACGCAGTGCAAAACTAAACATAAACACAGTGCAAACAAACCAAACCTCCAACAGATAACAAACATACAATACAAGAGTAGTCAGGCAGGCCGGGTCGGTGCAAACGGGCAAACGGAGTACCAGGAGCAGCGGGAGAGTGGTCAGGACTAGCCGAGGTCAGTACAGGCAGAGTTCAAGCAGAGTCAGGACAGGAGTAACAGGATCAGGAAACCAGGGCCAAGCGAACAGTACACCAAGGCACTGACTGCAGGTCTGGCCATCCCTTAAATACACCACCTGCAATCAGCCCCAGGTGATGGCTAATTGCAGGAGTGAGCCTCTGGTTGTTGAGAGCACCTGCTGGCCAGCCCTGGTACTGCAGCCCCCAAGGCAGGTGAGTCCCACCACTATTGGCAAGTCCATTCCTGACACTCATTTTTGTGCTCACCCAAAGAACTCTGATGAACTTTGCTTTTAGAAGGGGTACTAAAAAGGATATCAGCCTCCTGTTTCTTTACTTCAGTCATAGTTTCAGTAAAAGTAAAGTTTCTCTCTCTCGAAACAACTCTTAGGACCGGTGACATTGGGTGATGCGGCAGTCACCCCTTTATGATTTGAGCAGTCCTTAATTTATCAACATCTGTAGGAGAGATGACCTTTTCAGTGAGCAATCTTCCTAGAAGCACTTCTAGCCTCCTCACAAACACAGAAACCTCCTCTCCCTCGTTATGCTTTGTCTGTTTACAATCAGCAAGTATCTGATCCGGGTCACGGCGCCGTCCATAAGCATCTGTCAAAGTATCAATATATTCTGGAGCCCTGGTACTCACATGTGTGTCCATGTAAGCTCCGACAATAATGGATGCTGGAGGTCTTCAGCTTTCCATGATGGGCTGTTTTTTCTTTTCCTCTGAGCAGGTCCATTCCTCTATCACTTGTTGTGCAAAATCTTTCCACACTTCAAATCTTTCTTCACCAGCAGGGACAGGCAGCACTCCTGAAAAAGCCTTTAATTTGCGGTAAGAATCAGCATGTCAGTTCTGAGAAATGACTTCAGGGACTTTTAGCAGCAGATGCTCAATATTTGTTTCCTGCATAGTGGCTGTAGCAGGCGACATTCCAGACTCTCCTGATGAAGTCGTATTCAATGGTTCACACTTTACAGGCAGGGCTGGTAACTTTCACCTTACTGGAGGTGAAATCACTGGAAATACTACAGCACATTCAATGGCTTCAGCCTCTTTGGGATTCATGCAAAAGGGCCCGTTAACTGGATTTAAATCCACCTCACTGAGACAGAGATAATGGGTATGCAGTTCACAACTCTCATCTTCTTCTCTTTTATCCACAAGAGTGGCATACTGCAAGGTTTTATTTGCTTTTAGTGCCTCCAACAGTCTGAGGGAACTCACAGTGATAGGCACATATGAAATGGCAAATGTCCTTTTAGGTGGCAGTCCCTCTTCTAGGGCCCACTGCCTCACAGCTTCTGTTGATAACAGTGACATGGTCATTCCTTAATGTCCTGATCCAAGATATATTCTCTCAGCAGTGCCTCCAAATGTAGCGCTCTTTGTACTCTTTGCAGCTACTGGGGTATGATGGCGTCACCTGTATAGTAATTAGGAGCAGAGTCCTTATAATCTGTGTGTTCAGGACAAGATCTCTAACAAGCACTAGCGCCTCCACTCAATTGGGGCTTGTGGATAACAAGTGAAATCCCAACTGAGAAATGTATCATCCACATAGACCGCAATCCATGCAGCATTGTATATGGAAGTCCATGTATTGGAGAAATCACATTCAGTGACCATCCAACATAAAGGATCTTCCAAACAGGAACATTAAAGCATTAACAGTGTTTTCTGCATATCTCAGTGAGGGGGGGCTGCAACACTGACAGTCTGAGTTCTCTCTCTCCCAGGAAAGTCCACACTGCCCTTCTTTTTCACAAGTCTCTCCCTGATGACCTCATCCTCAGTGCACAAAGAACATAGCAGCCATATTGGAAAAGGGCAGAACAAACACTGCATAATAGAAGTATACACTGGAAAATGGGCAAAGAATATATCACATCACTACAATTATAAGAAGACACAAGAAAGCATTTAGAGCATATACAGCTATAGATCAGTCAGAACATAGACATGACAAGATGACTCCCGTTTCGCAGACGGGACATATTTGTAAACTGTAATACAGGTCAAAATGGGATAGAACATTACATCGAGCATACAATGCAAACCAGTGGATACAAAGAGGAAAGTAGATAAATCGATATGGGTGTATGTTGTCTCGTCTTGAATATCAGCAATTTTTTAATGATGAGGTGATGTGTAGATTAGGGTAGGGAAAGCGTTGAATGCTGTGAAGGTCAGGGTTTACGTAGTTATAACTTGAATGATGAGGTGATGTGTAGATTTGGGTAGGGAAAGCGTTGGATGCTGTGAAGGTCAGGGTTTACGTAGTTATAACTTGAATGATGAGGTGATGTGTAGATTAGGGTAGGGAAAGCGTTGGATGCTGTGAAGGTCAGGGTTTACGTAGTTATAACTTGAATGATGAGGTGATGTGTAGATTTGGGTAGGGAAAGCATTGGATGCTGTGAAGGTCAGGGTTTACGTAGTTATAACTTGAATGATGAGGTGATGTGTAGATTTGGGTAGGGAAAGCGTTGGATGCTGTGAAGGTCAGGGTTTACGTAGTTATAACTTGAATGATGAGGTGATGTGTAGATTAGAGTAGGGAAAGCGTTGGATGCTGTGAAGGTCGGGGTTTACGTAGTTATAACTTGAATGATGAGGTGATGTGTAGATTTGGGTAGGGAAAGCGTTGGATGCTGTGAAGGTCAGGGTTTACGTAGTTATAACTTGAATGATGAGGTGATGTGTAGATTTGGGTAGGGAAAGCGTTGGATGCTGTGAAGGTCAGGGTTTACGTAGTTATAACTTGAATGATGAGGTGATGTGCAGATTAGGGTAAGGAAAGCATTGGATGCTGTGAAGGTCAGGGTTTACGTAGTTATAACTTGAATGATGAGGTGATGTGTAGATTTGGGTAGGGAAAGCGTTGGATGCTGTGAAGGTCGGGGTTTACGTAGTTATAACTTGAATGATGAGGTGATGTGTAGATTTGGGTAGGGAAAGCGTTGAATGCTGTGAAGGTCAGGGTTTACGTAGTTATAACTTGAATGTATGATATAGTTGCAGTTAGTCATATCTGTGTAAAGGTAAATGCTCTATTTGGTTGGGGAAGAATAAAAGATAGGGGTGTATGACAGGTGTGAAAAAAGAGGTCAGAAAGAAGAACAGTAAGAAAGAGAAGTGTAGGATGAAATGGTGGGGGGAATATGGGAGAAGGGAAAAAAAAATAAAAGGGGGGGAGTAAGGGGTTAAGTGGCTGTAGAGTGTATAGGTAATAAAAATTAAAAATGGATCACATCCTTATGTATTAGACAAGCCAGAAAGGTAGTAATAAAGCTTAGAATATGGTAGGTGCAAGATTGGTCAGTTGGGCAACACGTGGATCAAAAACCCCGTAAGGCATGTCACGATGTAGAGCTACAGCCAAACCTTATGTGTGATAAGTGTCCCCGGGGATCAGGGTATTCCCCGATACAGCATTGTATTTGGACATTCAGTTAGGGGGTATAGATTGATCGTGTATTATTAGATGATAGGTAGAGGTGGATTTGAAATGACTCCAACATGCCCATGTTTTCCTGAATCTCTCAGGATATTCCTTAGCTACAGAAATCAGTTCCTCCATTTCCTCAGTTTTGTCAATCCTAGCAAACCATTCTCGTATAGTGGGAACATGTGTTGAGCGCCAGTGGACTGGGATACATTGCTTTGCAGCATTTACCATGTGCATGGCGAGTGACTTCCGGTATGTCCGAAATGGAAGTGCGGTATGGTGAAGCACAAATTGTGCGGGGGAAGGGTCTAGACCAGGGTGGGCAAACTTTTTGACTTGAGGGCCGCAATGGGTTCATATATTGGACCCGGGGGCCGGACCAAGAGTAGATGAATGATGTGTATGTGTCATCCATAGTAAGTATAGTAATATTCCCCCATAGTAAGCATAGTAATTAATCCCCCATATAGTGATTCATCCCCCATAGTAATTCATCCCCCATAGTAATTCATCCCCCATATAGTAATTCACCCCCCATATAGTAATTCATCCCCCATAGTAATTC